AAGAACCAGTTCAAGGCCATCTCCCCCTTCTTGGTGCCTGTAGTTCAGAGGCACGTGTCAGTAACAGGGACGAGGTCAGCTGAGCCTCTCAGGAGTGAGTCTCAGGCCCACCAGGACCTGCTGCGTCGTGCGCCGTGCGCCACTGACACAAGGTCCCCAGGAGATCTGGAGGCAGCTGAAGGTGACAAAGAGCACAGTGCTTGCACCTCAGGGGCGGAGAGTGAGTCCACCAGAGCCCACGGGTGCAACAGGCCCAGGAGCAGCTGAGTGCTCCAGGAGAGCTCTGCCACCTCCAGAGAGCCCGGCGGCAGGGGCCCTTGGTGGAGCCTGAGAAGGACTTGCCAGACTCCACACGGTTCTCACCCAATTCAGGGCCGTTTCTCAGGGTCGTTTCTCAGGGTGGGTTTGGAGAGTGGGTTTGGAACTCCTGTGTCCGGGAAGCAGGCTTCCCTCCCCCGCAGCCCTGCTGCCCTGCTGCCCTGCTGCCCTGCTGCCCTGCTGCCCTGCTGCCCTGCAGCACTGCTGCCCTGCAGCACTGCTGCCCTGCAGCACTGCTGCCCTGCTGCCCTGCTCTGCTTCCGTGTGTGGACTGACTTGTGATGTCTCCCACAAAGGGGATCCCACCACGCCTGGCTGTCGCGTGGCGTGTTTTCAAGGTTCACCCATTAGCTCGATGACTCTAGTGACTTCACAGAGCTGGACAGAGGCAGCTGTGAGTGCGGGGAGCGAGCTGAGCCCACAGCTTTCTGCAGAGGGTGGGGGTGCCAGGCCTGCCGGGCTGAGCAGACGGGGCTGGGGGACAGGAGAGGAACCTGGGCGGAGGTCTTGGAGCCCAACACTGGCTTGACTGTGGTGTAAAATGGCCACTGGAAGCTGCTGTGGGATCCTGAGCAGGTGACTTTGACCTTGTTGAGGAGGCCACCACAGAGCCAGAAGCTGCTAAGGGACAGGGCATGGTCCCCCAAGGTCCTTCATGGACAAGGTTTAAATGGAAGTGTGGGAACACAGGTGGAGCCAGTGCCTCCGGGTTTGGTGTGTGGTTCTGACCCACTGGCAGCTCTCTACCCATCAATCCAAGGAAGGGCATGTACCGCTCATTCGGGGCCCATGACCACTGTCCACGGTGAGCGTCCCAGGACCACGAAGTTCTCGTCCCCCAGGGTCAGCCCCTCCTCAGAGTCCCTGACTCCCACGGCTCTTCCCTGCTTTCCCTCCTTCAGATCCACCCAACAGTGTCACCGAGCACGTGCTTAGGATCCTACAGAGACTCAAGGGCCCAAGAGTGCCTGCCGTGGATCAGTGTTCTCATGGGGCGATGCGCAGGGCTCTTGGAATCTGGGGGTTCCCTCAGGCTGTGGCATTGCCTGGGTGTACTCCTGGTTTGTGGTGGTGGCCAGGAGTGTCAGGGACCAGCACTCCCAGGCCAGTCCTGCCCGGTGAAGACTGTTCCCTCACCCCACACGGGTCCCTAATGGCTCTTTCAGCAGGGAGGGTAAAAACCTTTAATCATCTGAGCTGAGTACAAAACCTACTTCAAATACATTTAATCTCCTAAGTTTAGAACCTAACACACCCCAGTGCGTCCTCCCAGGTAGGTGTGAGATACTGTAGCCTCTCCTAAGTAAATATTGAGAGAAAATGGTATTTTGTTTCTCTCTGCCCCCTGAAAGTGACATCAGCCACGGTGGTGCCAGCCTGCTGCCCGGGCCTGCAGCAGTTCCCTGTCTGTTGCGCCAGCAGCAATTCTGCAAGTCAGAATGTCAATGAGTGACATCTAAAGTGTTGGGAATAGTGCCCTTCCAACTACAAAATGAGATGGTGGCAAAGATTGCTACTGGACCCATCAGCTAACGAGGAACCCGGGTCCGAAGTGGCCGAGCCGGGTGCTGAGAGGAGTGCTGACTGGACGCAGCATGGGCCCTGTGCACAGGCGGCCATGGGACACCTCATGGTGGCCCTCCACGCTTTTTCTCTTGCCTTCCTGTGGGCAGGAGCCCTGTGCAGGGCTTTGGTCTCTACAACCTACAGAGTTGGTGGCTTAGAGGCAGTGGACGGAGCTGAACAGGATGCCCAGGGTCCACCTGTCTGACCATTTCTCTTTCCCAGCTGATCCTGACGCAGCCATCTTTGTTCCTAGGGTAGAACTGTAAGTATTTTAAAATTGTGTGCACAGGTAGACGTGACCTCCTGTGGAATCTGTGTTGGAATGGTACACAGGTGTGGAAATTGTGGTGTGCAGGTGGGGCTGAGGGCCCTGCCTCGACTCACCTCCGTGGGTCTGCGGCTCCTCTCTGTCCAGGGTGCCTTGGAAAACATGGCTCCTGGGAGCCCCAGGAGGTGGGGGCTGCACCACTGCCTGGCATTGTGACCTTGGGACCTTCTTTACACATCTTTATCATCTGGTACGAAACTGTACAATAATAGATTCCCAGAGTGACGTGAGGACCAGACAGGTCTCTCCCTGGAACCGGGTGACTGCAGGTCTCGTGGGAAGGTCTCGTTTCTCAGCATGGAAACTTGTTCCAGATGTGGACACACTGGTCCCAGCAGCTCCAGATGCCCGCCAGAGGCCTTTGGCTTTCCACAACAAGGCCAAGGGCCGGGTGGGAGGGCAGGAGGGAGAGGGCAGGATGACAGGAGGCCTAACAGGTGTGGGTGGTGTCCTTGATGGGTCTTATGTCTACAGCTTTTAGAATCCTGAGGCATTATCATCTTCCGTCAGTCAGTGAATACAACACTTTGTCTGAGTCTTCTGCAAATTTACTCCTTCCCTCTTCCTTCTTGCAGGCTTTGCCCACGGAAGCCCTTCCGCTCAGCCTTCTCAACAACCATTTGTCTTCTTATGGTTTGCCTCAAAATATCTTCCTTTCACCTCCAGTACCGAGGAGCCTCTGTGCTGAGTTCAGGTGATAGTGGGTGATTTCCCGTCGCTTCCTCTCGTGCCTGAGCCCACCACGCCTGCCTCCCGGGTCCAGCACTGTGCTGAGGCTGCCGCCAGCCATCTCCCTCCCGAGGCCACCCTTTCTCTTCTCCTGTTGGTTTTCCTCGGTTTCAGTGGAAGAGGTCTGGAGATGGATTGCTCTTGGTTTATCCCACTTTAGGTTTTTGGAATTCTTGAATTTGTGCTTTGGTGTGTGCCCTGCTCTCAGCTACCGCCTCTGCCCGCGGTCTCTCCTCTCCTGGGATTCGCATTACGTGCATGTTGGGCCTTGTTGTATCAGTTAGCCAGCTTTCCATTCCTGTCCCCTTGGCCACATCAGGCCACAGGCCAGAGAGCCTTCAGGACATCCTCTCATCCCTGCCCTAGCAACCCTGCAGGCTGGGGACAGACCACACCTACTGACCAATCCTGGCCCACTGCCTGATTTCCTATGGTCCACAAGCTAACAAATCGGCTCTCGTGTTTTTAAATGGCTAGGGACAGATGAAGAACATCTCGTGGTACAGGAGAGTTACACGCAGTCACCATCTCAGCAGTCACTAGTAAAGGTCCACGGGCATGGTCACACATTGGCTGTCAGCTGAGGTCACCTTTGCCCCACAATGAGAATGGAGAAGTCCTGCCGGAGTCAGGGGGAGGCTGCACAGCTGTCATGGAGGAGTGTACCCCGCAGTGGGACCAGAGCCCGACTCAGGGCCTCCACACGGCATCCACTGCTCTTGCCGCCTGGGAATCTGCAGAGGTGCCGGTGCCTGTGTTGCTCTTGTGGACAGGCAGGGTCACTGGGCCCAGCTCTTCCTACCCTGCCTGTCCTCCTCTGCCAGCACACTGGCCGCCTCGTGCCTTCTGGGCTGGCTCAGCTAATGTGTCTTGGGGAGCAGGCTTTCTCCCTGGGGCCACAGTGACCCTCAGCTGCTGGCCGGCTGCCATTGGCATGGTGGGGCCAGGGAGGCTGGTGATGTTCAGAGGCCCAGTATTGTGTCCGTTTTCACTGACCAGCAAGTGGTAGAGCCAGGACGAGGTCAAGTTCCACTGGCCCTTCTGCCAGGCACCTCTTCATGCCCACCTAACGTCAGCATTTATTCCCAGCATGGTGCACCCAAGGCCTACCCTCCATCATAGCTCACGGGGACCCTCTGCAGTCCCCAGAGGAGCGGTTCCTTTGGGATTTTGCCTTTTTAGTCCAATCCAGTTTAAGTTGAACTAAGGAAGATGAGGCCCTGATTGGGTAGTCATAAAGCAGACTCTAGGTCAAGAGCACACAGTGTAGGAAACCAAAAACGTCAATCAGTCAAGTGACATTCTGTATTTCTTTCACACACAAAGAGGACAAATACTTGCAGAATTAATATGGACAGAATAAATGCCAACTATTTCTTGAGGCTCCCATCTGAGTCCTTCACAAGCCCAAGCTTCCTGTAGCCTTCTGCTGCTTCAAACCTCTCCTGCTTCCCTCCAGTGGGGGCCCCAGGGGATGCAGGCCCAGGCTCCTGGGCTGGCTGGGTGAGGTAGCATGGCCTTGGTTCAGGCCCGAGCCCTGCTCAGAGCCTGAGGGTCAAGGTTGGCACTGGAGGAGCTGGCCAGGGCCTGGGGCTGGGCAAGGGCTCTGGAAAGTGCAAGGCCACCTGGGGAAGGCACCTCCCTCACCTCCAGAAAGGAGCTAGCTGAGATGAAGGCCCTGAGTTCCAGGTGGCCGGTTCTAGGCTCCTGAGCCCCAGTGTCTTTACGTATAAATGGGACACACCTCTGAGGTTGCATCTCAGCCTGGGGCACAGTGGCTTTGGGCTGCATTTGGGCTGGCCACCTGGCTTGAGTCCAGCTTGGCCTGCTCACAGCTGTGCCCCAGAAGAGCGGCCTCTGCACTTTAGTTTCCTCTCTTGCCCTGGCAGGGGCAACTACTGCCTGCAGCCCAAGCCTCTGATCCCTGTGGGCCCCAGCACTTAGCTCAGGCCAGGGCAGCTGTGGGGCGAGGCTCAGAGCTCCTCCCGCTGTGGCTGTGCGTCGAGCCGGTGAGCTGGCCCCGGGAGCTGTGCCAGCCAAGGTGCCCCATTTCCTTCAGTGCTGCCAGACCCTGCTCTCCCACCGCGCGGACCCCTCCCTGCGGGATGAAGACGGGTACACGGCAGCAGACCTGGCGGAGTACCATGGACACCAGGATTGCGCCCAGTACTTGCGGGAGATGGCCCGGCCAGTAAGTCCTTGGAGATCTGTCCTGGGGATCTGTCCTAGAGGCCTGTCCTGGAGGCCTGGGGGTGGGCCTAGGCCTCCAGAACCCTGGTTACCTACCTGGATCTCACTGCACATACCTCACAGCCCATGGTTTTATCAGGACAGGGCTGGTACAAAACACAGCCAGCTGGGACAGGGACTGTGACAGCAACCAGGCTTCAGTGAGGGCTGGAACTCAGCCAGCTGTGCCTTCCCTGGGAGCCACAGAAACCACGCCTGTGAGGTGGGGCCTCCTGGCTGGGCTCTGCTCAGGGGATGTTCTGTCAGCCTGAGGACACCAGGGTGGGACCAGGGCCCAAGTCCTGGCCAAGGTGGCCCTGAAGCAGCCCAGAAGCAGCATGCCCCATCCCAGTGCCTGCTCATGTGTGACGCTCCGTCTCCCACCTTCCAGAGCCAGTTTCCCCGTTCACAAGGACAGGGAACTTGTTGTCCTGCTGAGCCCGGCCCCAGCCCATGACAGGGAGGAGGAGCAGAGGGGCTGATCAGTGGGTCCCTCAGGCACAGACAGGCTGGTGGGCAGTGGCGAGGGCTGGGCTGAGGAGGACCAGGGACTCGAGAGCACGGAGCTGCAGGCTCTTCCCCGGCACCTCCCTGTCCAGGCCTAGGGCAGACACTATGATGACCGAGTCCCAGCTGGCCAGTTTTCTGTTGTGGCCAGTGCTCCAGGAAGGTGCCCTAGGGTCACCTGACCGCACTGTCAGAGGAGGGCATTGAGGTCCCCTAACTGGGGTCTCATCAAGAGGTTTAGTGCCTCCTCCTCCCTTGAGGGCATCACCTCCGAGCATCTAGGCCCAACCATGGCAGTGTCCTCCCAGCCTCCAGGCCTGCCAGGCAGTCCTCACGTGGCCACCACCTGAAACCTGCCCTGCCTGCCACCCCAGGGCAGCTGGGACAGGCTGCAGGGATTGCCTGCCCTGGTTTGGTCCCGAGGTAGTAGTTTCAGAGTCGAGAATTCAGATCCTGAGAGATAATTGGGGCGAAGTGTCTCCCTGCTGTTGCTTGGAGGAGGTCCTCCTTCTGGCATGGGTGGAGAGTTGGGGGCTCAGCTGGCCTAGGGCGTGGTCAGGGCTGCATGTTCACAGGCCCATGGTGGTCTGTCCTGGCTTCTGCACCCTCCCTGGGTTCTGCCCCCTAGCCCCACCTGGACGGCAGTAGAGGTAGGAGGTGGGAGGGCAGCCACTCCGCGGTGCCCCCCACCCTGCACAGCATCTGCTGTAAAGGGCAGGCCCTGCCTGGCCTCCGGGCTTCCTGCCCCGGTCCCCACCCCTGCCACACTGTGGAGCCCATGGCCTGAGATCTCTGTCCAAGCAAGGTCTCAGCCTTCCACCCCTAGGCCCCTTGTCACACTGGCCACCCCTCCTAGACCCCCTGCCCCAGTGCTCAGGGGAGGGGTCCTGCCTGCTCTCCTGACACCTGGGCCCATGGAGCTCAGTCCCTCTCAGGTTTCCTAGGGGTTTCTTCTGGTCCTGGCTGTATTATGGGATTCAAGGCAGCAACAGTGCCCAGAGCCCCTGAGCCCCCTGCATGTCCCCATCATGGAGCTGGAGGACATTGCCGTGTCTGGCATGTCCACCTACAGCCCCATCCTGCCCACACCTTCCTGGCTCCTGCACTCCAAGACCCGTGGCCTTGGGGGTCTCTGTGTGTAACCAGAGCATCTGGGAGCTCAGGATCAGGACTCAAGCTCCATCCCTGTCCTCTCCCCTGGAGAGTGGTGGCCACAGCAGAGAGCCAGGCTCTGCCGCCGGCAGGGACGTCCCCAGGGTTCCCACTTCACCTTGGCAGCGCTATCTCTGCTCACTGGGGGGCAGGCCGGCAGCTGTGGGGCGGGAGCTGTGCCTGATGCAATATTGATGGAAACGCGATATGAGAGGTGGCCTGCCCGCTGTCCTGCTGGCCAGGAGCAGCTGGTGAAATCTTTCATTTTCCCCTGAGGGACAGCCCCAGTCTTCCTCCCAGGGACTCACAGTCCCAGACAGGCAGCTTGGGCAAGGCTGCCTGTCAGTGGTGAGACCTGCCCCATGGCAGACACCCCCTTCAGGGCCCCTTCTGCGGGGTCCACAGGGCCTTGGCGTACCTGCTGCCCAGTGCAAGGCTGGCTCGTGGCACTCAGAAGCCCCTCTGCACAGGAGGGTTGATCTCACTCACCTGGAGGGGCAGAGGCTGGGGAGGCTTGGAGGGACATCCCTGCTCTCCGTCCCCATCCCCTCAGTTGGGCAGCCTGGCCGTGGGAGCCGGAGAGTCGTTCCTTCTGGGAGCTGCAGTCAGGAGCAACCTGGACAGTGCGTGTGGCCCTCCACGAGCTGGAGGCAGAGCCCAGCGTCCAGGTGGGCCAGGCCAGCCTACTCTCTCCTGTCTCACGCCCTCAGGGCTGGAGCAGCTCTTCCTGGGCATGGCCACTCCAGAATCTGAGTGTCTGAGCCTCGAGTTCCTCGCCGTGTAACAGGCTCAAGGCCTGCTGGAGGGCAGAGGTGGTGCTCCTCTCTGCTGAGGTCACCTTGGCACAGGCCGACCCGCCCAGGTCCAGAAGGCCCAGAACCCCTTCATTTTACAGATGGGAAGACCAAGGCCCAGAGAGGGCGAGACTCCTCTGGGCAGTGTTTTGTCCAGGAAACAGTGGGGCCTGGGTGCCTGGCCAGTAATCGAATCTCGGCTGTGGCGATTGGTGTCCAGCGTCCATCTGCAGGTCATGATTTTCTCGGCCTGGGTGGCGTTACAAGCCTGTAACCCAGCTCACCACACTGCCTCCATGTATAATGCATGGCCAGCTCAGCAGCACTCAATCCTCTCCAGAAACCCAGAAGAGAGGTGCAGGGCCTGGGGCCAGGGTGACCCCAACCTCAGGGGCAAAGTTCAACGCTGGGGCTCAGGGGCAGCATGTGCCCAACTCTCAGGACCCCAAAGGATGGGACACTGACCTTTTCCCTCCTTCCAATCCTTTGGGATTTTCTGTGTCAGGGCCTTAAAAGAGAGGTGTGGTGACTCTTGTCACTGGGGACACCACCACTGACTTTGTCTCAGCTGACATTCAGAGGACTGATAGGACGCAGGAAGGCCCATGGGCCAGGACCCTGCCAGAAGCACCGAGTTCCTCTCCTTCCAATGGCGGACTCACAGGTGACATGAGGCCCTGTGTGTCTTCCCAGGGCTTCTGGGTGGTAAGGAGTGCAGTAGGGTGCAGCCCAAGGACCCCAAGGTCCCCAGGCTGCAGGGAATGCACTGGAGCCAGGCAATGCCCCTGTCAGGCCAACGGCCAGTCTCTCCATCTTCCAGCACGAGGGGCTGCTGCCAGCCCAGCTGAACCCTTGCTCTTCTGTGGGTGAGGTAGGGAGGTGCTTTCTTGCCTTCCCACTGACAGCAGGGTCCCCTGGCCCCTCCAGGCCCCAGAGGAAGCAGCCTGCAGTGCCACAGTGGGCTTGAGTCTCAGCTGAGGATGCCTGTGTCCAGGACCCCGCCCCCTCCACCATGTTAGAGTGAGCAATGAGCAACCTGCCCCCCAACATGTTAGAGCGAGCAATGAGCAACCTGCCCCTGTCCCTCGGGGTTGCTCCCTGCAAACAGCCTGAGAGGTGCAGAGGAGGGCAGCCAGGGCTTTGCCTAGACCCTAATGCCACTCTCCCCAGAGCTGGCCCCCGCCTCTTCCTCCACGGCCGGAACTTCCACACCAAGGGAGCTCTGGGCCTGCAGGAGCAAAGGCTGGGCTCTCCAGGAAAACTTGACCCTCTGCTGTGTCCCAGCTGTGGGACCGTGGGTGGTCTCTCTTCTCCTGGGCTCCAGGATTTCAGTGTCCCCTCCCATTTCCCCAGAGGGTCCACTCCCCAGCCCCTGCCATTTGGAGGGTTAAGGCCCTCTGGTAAGAGATCCCCACCCAGCCCCAGCCCTCCTGGCCACCTGACACCTCGGCTTTCAAATATTCATGTGCCACCTCCCACTCCTGGGGGCAGCGGCTGCGCCGGCCCCGACAGGCCAGGGTGGCTGCAGCTTCCTGGGCTTCACAGCCCAGCTCCTCCTTCTGAGTTGCTCCCAGGCCGGGGCTGGCAGACTCCCCAGCCACACGTGTGGAGGCTCCTGGGCTCCCTGCACAAATTCCTGGAGAGAGCAAGGTGCGTGGGGGCTGGGCAGAGAGGGTCTCAGGCTTCGTCCCCTTCCCCATGACTTGTGAGCTAAGGTCCTGGATGGCCTGTGACTAAGGGCTAGAACTGGGCCCACCATGGCGCCAAGACCACGCGTCTTCAACTCTCAGCTTTAAACCAAAGGGCAGCAAAGCTGGCTGGAGGTCCTGGGAGGACACGGGAGGCAGGGTCGCCCCCAGGCTAGTCTCCTTGAGAGGGCAGCTGGGCCCAGGGCCAAGAATTGGGGTTGGAGTCAGGCTCTGCTGGCCACCCTGCCGCATAGCCTGTGCTCCAAGAACCAGTCTTTGCCTAGAAATGGACTGATGGGCACAGCAGAGACTCCTCCTGGCCCACTGCCCTCCCCAAGCCCTTGCCAGCTCTGACCCAGCCTCCCACCTGAGACACCAACAGACTGGTTGGTAGGGTCCAGGTGGTCTCAGGTGGGTCAAGACAGGGGTGTGTGTGTGCTTGTGTGCTCCTGGACCCAAGCCCGACCCAGTGCCCTAAGCCCCAAGGTAAGCTGCTCTAGGCAGAGCCTCTGAGCCGGGCCTCGAGATGCAAGGTCACTCAGTGGAGGTGGTGTGGGGGACAGTCAAGGTGGAGGGCACAGTGAACCCCAGCTCCCAGACAGAGCTCAGGGTGTTTGGGGAGGGTGGTCACCTGGCACAGAGTAGGTGGAGGGCGGTGGGCGGGCAGGCTCCTGGCCCTCCCTCCTGCACGCTTCCGTAACACTTCTCTGGGATGCATAGGCTCCAGGAAGGCCCAGGGCTGCCCACTGGATGTCGCATTCCTGCCTGGCAGATCTGGGTGAGTGCGAGTCAAGGCCCACCTGAGCCTCCACTGACCAGGCCTGTCCACCCCCAGGTGCCAGTCCTGAGGACACCCCCACCACCTCCATTCCCACCTCCTCCACTGTCAGCTGCAAGGCTCTCCTTGGAGGATAGAAATAGAGGTGGCTCGGGGCTCAGGAGCCACACACGTGAGTACCCACCTCAGGACCCACCAGGCCTGAGTGTAGAGGGGTCTGTGACCTTGCCTCAGGACCTCGAGGGCATGGGAGCTGTTGCATGCATGTGTGTGCGTGTGTGCGTGCGTGTGTGTCTGCGAGTGTGTCTGCGTGTGCGTGTGCGTGTGCGGGTGTTGTGTGTCTCTTAGGCCACCATGCAGAGGTGTTTCTTACCCTGGGCTGGGGCACTGGTGTGTGTGTGTAGTGGGGCAGGGCACTGGGGACAGTAAGCGGGCAGCTCTGGGGTCTGGCCGGGTTGCATTAGGTTGTTGGGCCTCCATGCATCATGCTCCATTGATGTCCCAGTGAGGAGTCCAGCGGTGATGACCAGTGTGCCCAGGACCAAGGGGCATTTGGGGCAGGGATGGTGGTGTCCTTGGCTCCAAGCACATTGCTCCCTCAGGGGACTGGCCCTGTCCCTAGGTCCAGGGGCTCTGAGCTTCTCTCCACTCCCTGTGCCCCTGCCCTTTCTGTTCCCTTCTCAGCAGCAGCGACTCTCAGCCCTTCCTGGCCTGGTCAGCACAATCAGCCTGTCCCCAGTGAGCAGATGGCCCGCACAGTCCTCCCACAGATCACCACCAGTGCCCTGGCTGCTCCTGAGGTGCGTCCCTCCCCCCAGCATCCTCATCTCCCAAGGCCCCCAGCCAACCCAAGCCAACTCACTGTCCTCCCAGAGTGGCCAGGCTGCTCCTCCAAGAGCAGATGCCCAACCTGCCACCAGGTGCAACTCTGGCTGGCTATGGGCGCACGGAATTCTGAGGAGAGAGGAATTTCAGGGTGGCAGTGACTTGCCACCTCAACGTACAAAGCATAGGGACCCTTGGCTGTCATCCCAGAGTCCTGTAGCCCAGGCCCCTCAACCTGACCTTTGAACTCACAGTTGCCTGTGCCCTCTTTGGAAGCTGCGACCACAGCACAGAGCAGCAGCCTGGCACCTGCCCCTCCTCAGGGCCTGGGCCAGCCCCCTTCCCTGCTGCTCTTTCCTGGGTCCTTGGGGTCCCAACAGGTCCTGGTGGGACTGGGGATGCCCCCTGTGCTGGGCTTGAGCACTAGAGCCCTCACAGCACATGAGGCAGGTTCTGCAGTGTGGGCTTCAGCTGTTGCCCCGCCACCCCACAGCCTGCTCTGGGCAACCTTCTCTCGGCCATTGCAGAGGTGGGGGGCCCTGGTAGCTGCTGGCAGCCAGCAGACTCTCCTGTACTGCCCGGGTTCCTGTCCTGGGAGAGGGATGCTGGTATGGCCGGAGGCCCCCACTGCCTGTCCTCCAGGGGTGCCTGGGTGGGCAAGCTGAGTGTGTCCACAGTCCTGTCCCCTTACTCAGGGTCACCTTAGGGCCTGTGTGACCGTGACTGCGCCCTCCTGTCTGCAGGGAGTGGAGTCGGCAGTGGGTGACTCCCCCGATGGCCTGGCTGCGCTACAGCTGGATGGTGTGCCATCAGGAGACCTGGATGGGCTGGTGCCCACGCGGGACGAGCATGGCCGGCCCATCCCCGAGTGGAAGCGACAGGTGATGGTGCGGAAGCTGCAGGCGCGCCTGGGCGCAGACCGTGCTCGCGAGGCCCAGGTGCGCCCCAAGGGGCGGGGAGGGGCCAGTGCACGGGGAGGGCGGGTGCCCTGTCCAGATGTGGAGGCCAAGACCAGGGTGTCCCCTCCAAACTGTCTGGGACTCAGCTTCCTCTTCAGAGTCAGCTCCAGGCGGAGGACGCGGAGCAGGGGCAGGCTTTGCTTCCTGCTCTCCCATTTGATTTAGTGCCCGCCCTGTCCTGGCAGGGACGGGCAAGCCCTGCCCCATCCTTGCCGCCCGGACTCTCAGGGAGGTCACAGGCAGGTGCACGCGGTGGCCGGGATGGGGTGATGCCCCCACCAAAGAGTCAAGCCCTGCAAGAGGAGCTCTGCCTGTGGGTGTCCTCTCAGGGAAGGTGACCTTGAGCAGGGGCTGGGAGGGCGCTGAGGGAATCTGGGTCAAGCGCATTCTGCTTTCTAGGCGATGGGAGCCCGAGTGAAGCCCTGGGTGGGAAAGGCTGGCTCAGGGGAGGAGCAGCAGGAGGCTGGGGCACTGCTAGTCCACCGGGAGGGACGGAGAGGCAGTGGAAGTGAGGCTCGAGGGGCAGATGTTCCAGGCCTGGGAAGGTGTTTGGGGCCCTGCTGAGAGTCGGAGCAGAGGGCTGTGATCTCCCCGGATCTTTGCAGGCTCCCCGACAGTGGCTCTGGGGTCTTGCTGAGTCCACTGTCTGAACGCTGTCTGGGGCTCTGGCTGCACTGTCCTTCAGTGCAGCAGCCACTTGCAGCTAAATTCGTAAAAGCCCTGCCCCCAGTTGCCCCTCATTTCACTCCTGCCACAGGTGCAGGCTCCAGCACGGCTCCCTCACCAGAGCCCAAGAGAGTGGAGTCTAAGGCCCAGCCCATCCTGGCCTGTCAGGGTGCAGGGCAGAGCAAGGGGGCCAGGGGCAGGGGCCTTCCACCACAGCCAGGAAGCCCATCCAAGTCCTGGCCCCCGGCTGGGCCCCACGGGCTCCACAGAGCAGAGAACTCAGGGAAATGGAGGGTGGGTGGGCTGAAGGGGCTGGGGGCTTAGTCCCAGCCTGACTGAAGGCTAGGAGTCCCTGCACAGGTCCTTGTGGGCTGGACAGTACTCAGGATAGTGGATGAGGAGGGGACAGAGCAGAAGACTGCAGCCACCCGTCCTGCTCTGCCCTGTCTGCTGTCCACATACAGAAGGCTCCTGGGTTTGTTGGGAAGGGTCTGGGGAGCTGCAGCCATGAACCATGGTGATGTGGGAGAGACTAGGAGGACCCCGAAGGGCGCAGAGCAGGGGCACCTCTAGCTGCACCCCAAACTGTGCTAACCAGCACCTGGCTTACTTTCTGAGGTCAGATAAGGGCCAGGGGCTGGACTGGGTCTGTAGGGGTCTGGGAACTGGGCCATGCCAGGGAACTTGTGACCCACAGGAGCAAACCTGCTCCCCAGTGCATGGCAGAATGGGCCGTGGCCCTGCTGACTCCCCTTCCTGTGCCCAGGATGACAGTGGGAACCCAGGCCTCCTGGAGCAGGCGGCCTGGCGGTACTCGCAGGCCCACCAAGCGGTCCTGGGCCCCTTTGGGGAGCTGCTGACCGAGGATGACCTGGTCTACCTGGAGAAGCAGATCGAAGACCTGCAGCTCCGGCGCCGCTGCCAGGAGTACGAGAGCGAGCTGGGCCGGCTGGCTGCGGAGTTGCAGGCCCTGCTGCCTGAGCCCCTGGTCAGCATCACTGTCAACAGCCACTTCCTGCCCCGGGCGCCTGGGCTGGAGGAAGATCAGGCCCTGGCCCTGGTGGCTCAGCCCACAGACTCAGCAGAGACTGGGGAGGCCATGCCTGGCGGGCAGCCTCTGCCCTTCTGGTGTAGCCACATCAGCCGCCTGGTGCGCAGCATGTCCCTGCTGCTGAAGGGTGTGAACGGGCTGGTGCAGAGCGAGGAGTCAGCCACCCAGGCCCTGCAGGATCCCCGCGGGGGTGCTGCAGTCAGGCCCCCTTGCAGCGAGGCCCAGCGTGAGATCCAGGAATGCGGGGTGTCTGTGCGAGTGCTGCGTGGCAACTTTGAGTTGGCCCCTGGACAGCCCTGTGCCTCAGACCTGAGCCCTTGTGAACTGGCTGCCCAGCCTGGGCAGTGCCTAAGAGGCTGCTGCCCGGCTCCCCTGCAGCCCCGAGCCAGCACAACGGGAGGGGGGCCCAGGCCAGGTGACACAGAGGAGGCCAGTGACTCAGGCATCAGCTGTGAGGAGGCCCCTTCGGAGGCGGGTGCCGTGGCCAGCCTGGACTCGGCCAGCCTGCGCAAGGAGCGCATCGTCATGCTGTTTCTCAGCCACTGGAAGAAGTCAGCCTATACACCCGCCCTCAAGACGGCGGCCTGCAGGACCCTGGAGGCCCGCAAAGCTGGGCCACAGGGACAGGAGGTGGCCAGGAGCCCTCGGGCGCCCTCCCTGCTGCCCAGTGAGGGCCCCCGGCTCAGCCACCTGTGGCAGCAGCGGAGCATCATCACCCAGCTGCTGGGCAACTGGAAGGCCATCATGGCCCACGTGCCGGCCCGGCAGCTGCGGCGGCTGAGCCGGCGGCCCCGCAGTCCCCTGTCCCCTGAGCAGTTCCTGCCCCACGTGAATGGGGCTCCTGTGCCCTACAGTAGCCTCCCGCTGGACCTCTTCATGCTGGGCTACTTCCAGCTCCTGGAGTGCGACCTGCCGGCCGAGGAGCGCAAGATGCGTCACCTGCTGTGCTTCGAGGTCTTTGAGCACCTGGGTGCCCACGGCTGGGAGGCTGTGCGTGCCTTCCACAAGGCCGTGACTGATGAGGTGGCGGCTGGCCGCCGCACCTGGACTGATGGCTTTGAGGACATTAAAGCTCGCTTCTTTGGCTCCAGCCAGGGTGCCACTCGGGACACGGAGCCTGGTCGAAAGTCAGGCCTGACCCCCCTGGGGCCACTGCCTTCTGCCACCGTCCCAAGCAGTGGCCCAGAGTCCCCTGCCCAGCGGCTGGGGCCTGGCTCCCAGCGGGGCAGCTTCAACAGCGAGGACATCTGTGGCTACATTGACCGGAGCTTTGCCTTCTGGAAGGAGAAGGAGGCTGAGATGTTCAACTTTGAGTGACAGAGCGGCTGGGAGGGAAGTGCCGTTTCCTCTCCTGTCCTTTCCTGGCCACCTTCAGGGGTCTCCTGCAGTGCCTCCACCTCGCCACTGGGGGCAGGGCACCTTGGACCCCGGGGTTTGGAGGGTGGAGCCGGAGCGGAGAGCCCCAGAGAGGCAAGGTCCCTGGGGGAGGGACGGAAGCCCCCTCCCCAGCCTCAGGTCTGGCCGCCCAGGGCCCGCTGCACCTTCTGTGGTGTCCCCTACTGCCAGGACCCTCACTGTGCCGCTGACCCTGGACCTCTGCTTGCTAAATAGAGCTCCCTCTCCTGGCCAGCCTTTTTCCTGGGCTTGTCGCCTCCTTGTCCACAGGGTACCTGGCCCCAGTGGGCACTGAGGCCCAACCCTCACTAAGCCTGGCACAACACCAGGGCAGCGCCCTTGTGTCCTCTGTCCCACTGGGACCTGAGTGTCCACTGCACCAGAGGGGATGGCATTCTGGAGGGGTAGACTGAGGCCAGGGGAGGGCCTCTGTCCAGGGCCATGGCCTCACACTCGTCAGTCTGTGGTCAGTGCTATAGAGGGCTCTCACAGGCAGGGGCTGTGGGCACCTTGAGCCAAGCACCCAAGTGCTCTTTCTTGGCCAGTGAGGCCCTGGTGCTGGACCCCACGCACCCCACAGCTGTGGACGAGGCTGACAGAGGGCCAGGATAGGAGGGGGACTGGGCCTGAAAACGTCCTGTGCTCCTACCTCCTGCAGTTCCTTCCTGACCACGTGTCCGGTGCTGTTGGTCCAAGGGCCTGACAAAGGGGGGCCTGGGGGCTGGGTGGTGGGCAGAAGACAGAGCCTGGCCTCAGGCCACATCTGGGCAGGAGGTTGGTGCATCTGGCTCAGGGCATCGTACTTGCGTACTGTGGCCTCAGAAAAGCCTCTGGTAGCCCCTGGACCTCAGTTTCTCAGCCAAGGGGCAGATTGAGGCTGTTAGGGGGCACCTGACAAGCCCAGGGGTCCTCGGGTCAGGCGGGCTGTTGGACGAGGGAGGCAGTGGTGGCTCAGGGCCAGGCTTGTCGCCCGGAAGAAGGTGACCCCCAAGTGGCCTTCTGCAAACTCCCTGCTTCTGGGGGGAGCTGCCCCAGAGATCCTAGTGGCCTTGGCCTGGTGTGGGCCTGGGGAGCTGGCTTTTAAAGACATCTCAGGGTTTCTGACACCATGGGCCTGGGAATCCCTGGCCACTCACAGCTCACCTGCGGGGAGTTCTGTTTGGTGCCTATAAATGTCTCCAGTCGGCAGAAACTCACTGGAGACCCCGAAGGCCCTTCTCGGAATCCTGGAGGGTGCAGACTCAGGAGGAGGCCAGACAGGAGCAAGGTCAGGAGGGGAGATGCAGGAAGCAGTCGCACCAAGGGCAGCGCAGGGGCAGCGCGTCTTCCCCCCTGGTGGGTGGAGCTTGGTGAGACGTTCGCGCTCCACACCGCTGCGTGGGCTGGTGCAGAGTCAAGCTTTCCTTTTCCTTTCCTTTCCTTTTTTCTTCTTTTCCTTCTTCTTCTGTTTTTGTTTTGTTTGAAACAAAAAATGAGCAAATAAACTCTGAGGCCAGCCTTCAAGAAGTCCCCTGGCTACCTGGTAGTCACAGCCCCGGGTGCCCCCCAGGACACCACTGAAGCTATGGTGTCCCTCCACAGAAGACACCGTGGCTCTGTCTCCTGTGTTCTCTCTGACTCTCGGGAAGCCCACTGCGGACCAGGGAAGAGTGCAGGACAGCCCAGCAGGGTCCCCAGACCTGCCTTCAGGTCACTGCAGTGTGGCCAGCTCCTAAGTGCAGCCTCATTTAGACATTCTGAGAGAACCACCCTGGAATAAAGCCAGATTTGTTTGTGGTCCTGAAACACTAGGCGTGGGGCAATTTGTCATGCAGCCACAGCTGACTGATACAACAGGAGTGATGAGGAGATGCTGGTGCCCAGATCTGAAGGTCTCATGGTCACAGAGCAGTAGTCCACTGCACTAGGTAGCCCTGAGCCAGGAGCCTAGTCACTCGGGTAAGCAGATCAGAACCGACTGGGCTGACTTAACCTGGCTGGGGAGAAAGGGGCATATCCCCAGGGGAAGGAGTGTCGGTAACCGTGCCGAGATTGTTTAGAAAAGGATCTTGGAAGAAGAAGAAGGCAAGACTTCAAGGCACCCGAAGCACAACATAAGTCTCGCCTGGAAGAAGAGACCTCACGAGCTGGCTGGCACAAAACCCAGGGGGACTGGCCAGTGCGGCCTGCAGGGTCCTGTCCCGGGCCAGCCAGACAGTCTGCGGCCTGGCCGGGGCCGCCACGGAAAGAGCTGCACTTGAGGACAGAGGGCACTGCCTCAGCCAGGCCGGCCACTCTGGTCACTGGTCACTCGGGTGCTGACGATGGTCGCACACTAGAACTTGTGAGTTCACGCTCAGAATCTGTTCTGGGAGGTCACCAGAGCCACACCCTCTCCTCCTGACAGTGGGGGGAACCGGACACCCACTTCCCACTTCCTACAGCGAGGCATGGCCCTGCTGAGATGGAACTCAAAACCATGTTTCCAACACTGATCTCAGCGGAGGTGCTGGCCATGTGTCATCCAGTGACGAGGACCACACAGACACACACACCCCCGTGAGACCAGCGGGGCCTGAAGGGAGGCCACCAGCGTGTGAAGGCCATAGTCTCTTCTGCTTTATGTTTTTCTGATTTCCAAAATGAATGCTTTGTTTTTATCATCATAAAAGGAAACGAGAGTGCGCGCCTGAGATCCCAGTGGCTCGGGAGGCCGAGGCAGGAGGATCATGAGTTCAAAGCCAGCCTCGGCAAAAGTGAGGTGCTGAGCAACTCAGCGAGATCCTGTCTCCAAATAAAATTTAAAAAGGGCTGGGGATGTGTCTCCATGGTTAAGCGCCCCTGGGTTCGCTCCCTGGTACAAAATAAAAGGGTGGGGGATGAGCAGTGCACTTCCAAAGGCGGACCCCCGTTGATGAGGATCCCTTTTGAGGCCCGTCATTGAGTCTCCCTGACTGGCCTCCAATCCCCACTGTGAGGCCAGCACACTTGGCACACAGCACTGTCCCCAGCCTGAGCCAGCTCCCTGTGACAGCAGCCTGTCATCAGGATTCCTGTCCTCCTTCCCTCCAGCCTGAGCAGGGACAGACACCCTGAGCAAAGCCAGCCTCTCCACTCCCCCTCCAGCTCCCTCCCGCGATGGCCGGGACATATGACACTTGGGGACATCACGGGGCTCTCTCACCCCACGTGAGCGTGCAGAGCAGGGCTGGAGGAACAGAATGGGGAACAGAAGCAGAGAAGGGGCGGGGCGGGGCAGGCTAGCTGAGGAGGGGCGCGTGGAAGGAGGGACCCCATGCGGGAGCCGGGAACGTTCTGTCCAGACTTGATGCCAGGCTCTGTGACCGCTGTCCCCTGCCTCAACACGCTCATCCTGGAAGCAGGGGCTGTGGCCTTTAGCTTCAAACCAGGCCACAGCAGCTGGGCTGGCCGAGCAGGTGCCTCTCGTGCCCGGACACCCCACTACCTTGAGAGATTGCCTCGCTCTGCTGGGAGGCTGTCACCGGGGCCACCTGGCCCCTCTGCTCTGGCACTCCCTGACTCCGGCACTGCCAACACACCAGAGATGGTCATTTTAGTAGGAAGAGCTGACCAGTGCGCCTCCAGCCTGACCAGCCAGGCTCAGGGCCAAGGGCTTCTCTCTGGTGCGTGGAAGCCCCTTGGCTGGGAAGACTGGTTCTGACCACTGGCATGAGAGACTTCCAGAGACCCCAGCTCCTGGGCTCAACCTCCTGAGCCTCATTCAGGCCCAGATGTGAGGGGCTCCCCGTGACCCCTGTGTGTCTAGATGACCCCACCCCATGTCTTCGCTCTCCCGGGTGCTCAGGATGAAGGAAGAGACCAGGCAGCCCAAGGCCAAGGTCATGGCATGGCAGGAAGGGAGCCTGGCCTCTGGTGCCCTGCATCTGCTGGGTGGGGCTTCCTCAGGGCCCTGTCACCCTCTTTGCCACCAAAACCTCCCCACTGCCATTGCAGACCCCAACCTTTGAAAGGCCTGGCTGGCCGACCCTGCTTGTTTGTGGAGAGACTCCACCACTCTACAGCAGAATCAGAGGCTCCTGGGCCCTGTCAAGTAAACCAAAGCGTCCCCTCCCCTGGTCCAGCCATGAGCTGAGACTCTCCTTGTGGGCCCTGGTCCCCAGCATAGGCGCCCACTGTCCCATGCTGCAGAGGAGCAAACTGGGGAGGGGGTTGCATTCCCACCCATCAAGTTAGCCCCAGGGCCCCTGGAGGGGCGAAAGTTCGTGGGTGCCCTGGAAGCTCCCCACTGTCTGTCCTGCCCTGGGGTCACCTGGAGGCCTCAGGCCCTCTGATGTGACATGGTCAGTTTGGGCTTTCACAGCAGACGTCTGTGAAAAGCTATCACCTCCCCTCTTCCTCCAGCCCGTCCCTCCCCACCCTCCCTTCTATGCAGACAGAGACTAAAAATATCCCGTCATCCCCACGTGGCCACCCAGCCCAGACCGGGAGGCTTCCATGCCCCTCGCTGCGGCCGGGCAGTCCTGCCCTCAGCTCTGTGTTCTCAGCGACCGGCGCCAAGGCTGGCTGAAGGGTAGGGGCAGGGGCTCTGAGGGGGGCGGGCAGCAAGGGAGGGGCCAGGCGGGGGGCAGTGGGGGTGAGCAGGTAGGTTGTGCTGGTGTCCCGTTAGCCTGCAGGTCACAGAGCTGAGTGCTTGTGACAGAGGCCCCTGTACAGAGGCCCCAGCCCAGCTCCTCAGGGTGAACTGGGGGCTCAGCCAACAGGCTTCCTCAGTGGGCGGGGGGCCAGGAGGCCCCCGAACCCCAGGACTGCAGCCAGGGCCACGCTGGCCCGCTGCCCGCCTGCTCACCCTCCCTCCTCCCTGGGCAGGTGCTGGATAAGGCTCCGAGGCCCTGGGACCCCTGTCCCATGCTGGGAAGGCAGCAGCATGTGCTCAGAGGCACCCCTGAGATGGCTGGGACGTGCTGGGTGCTCCCGTCTGACAGCCACGTGTCACCGTGGCAGCGGCTGGCCCAGGGAAGGCAGCAATGACGGGAATGCAGAGCCTGTGGGCGGTGGCCCAGGAGAGCCCCCGCGCCCGTGGCTCGCTGGTCTCTTGTGCTCACCCTGCCCGAGGGGGTGACGGGGTCAAGCGTGTTGGATGGCTGGCCGGGTGCTGGCCCTGGCCTCCTGAGCTGTCCTGTCCCAGCATGAGCCCAGGCTGGCCCCTGGAAGGCCTAAGTGGGCTCCTTGGGAGCATTCTGCTCAGTAGGAAGAAGAAGGGCAGCGCAGGCCACGGAGGGGACAGGCCTCCAGCGCCTGCCCCGCGTCTCTGGCTCAGGCCTTGAGGTTGACCACTCACTCTATGGGTCTGTCTCGTGTTTTATCTTGTTTTATTTCTAGAGCATTCACTACCGCCGCCTGGCCCTGGGGGCTGCGTGGGCGCCCCCTGGTGGATGGGATGCCTCTCTGCTGTGCAGGCCTCTGCCTTGGGGTGACTGGGGGCAAACCTTTGGTGCAAACTCTTGCTTTAGGATGTTTTCTGAGGGCCAAACACCAGAAGCCCATAAATAAACAGGCTCGTCCTTCAATATGCCCAGGAGGAGCCTCTGGCTGAGCCACAGGGTCTTCAGTGGCCCAAGTTTGGCCATAGCCCCAAACCTGGCTGGGTTCCAGGGTTGGCTGCCTCAGTTTCTGTGTGACCTGGGGCAAGTGAGTCAGGCTCTCTGTGCCTCAGCTTCCCTGCTGTAAATTGACACCCTCACCTTCAGGATGGTGGGGCTGAGTGGCTAATGCAGAGCAAGGTGGGACCTGGAGACCCCCATTTGGGCAGGGTAGACTTGGGAGGATGGTGGATCCAGGCCCTTCACCCCCAGCTTCTCCATTGGCAGATGAGGAAATGGGACCAGAGAGAGGAGCAGAGCCACCCCAGGCCACCAAGGAAAGGCCTGGCGGGCGGTGCGAATCAGGGGGCAGGAGACCCTAAAATGCCCCCAACAGTCAATCAGTAACGCGGCCCTCAGGCAGGGGTAGGGTAGGGCCGGCCTTTGGGGAGCTCGAGGGGCACAGGAGTCCTGTCCTCTGGGGCCTGTCCTTCCCCAATGGCTTGGCCACCTCCTCCCTGTGAAATGGGAACCGAGCTTTTCCCCTCCAAGGCTGTGGCCTGGGTCAAGGGGGGTGGCAGACAGGGGCCCCATGTCAGCCAGGCTCAGCCAGGGCTGGCTGGGCAGGGAGGGTGTGCACCGACGGTCCCCAGAGACAGTGAGCCTGTCACCCAGGTGACCCTGCTCTCTCCCCTTCCTAGGAACTCAGGTGGGCTCCAGGTGCCTCTACGGTGACAGGGTGGACTCTGGCATCATGGTGCGGAATGTGGACGACCTGGACTTCCAGCTGCCCTCGCACGCCCAGGACATGCTGGACGGCCTGCAGCAGCTTCGCTCTCTGCCCAAGCTGGCCGACGTCACCCTGCTGGTGGGCGGCCGGGAGCTGCCTTGCCACCGCAGCCTGCTGGCGCTCAGCAGCCCCTACTTCCACGCCATGTTTTCTGGTGACTTCGCGGAGAGCTTCTCTGCTCGTGTGGAGCTACCAGACGTGGAGCCGGCCGTGGTGGGGCAGCTGCTGGACTTCGTGTACACGGGTCGGCTGACCATCACGCAGACCAACGTGGAGGCCCTGACGCGCACGGCCTCCCGCCTCCACTTCCCTGCCGTGCAGAAGGTCTGTGGCCGCTACCTCCAACAGCAGCTGGATGCCACCAACTGCCTGGGAATCTGCGAGTTCGGGGAGCAACAGGGGCTGCTGGGGGTGGCCGCCAAGGCCTGGGCCTTCCTGCGGGAGAACTTTGAGGCCGTGGCCCAGGAGGACGAGTTCCTGCAGCTATCCCGAGAACGGCTGGCTACCTGTCTGGCCGGTGACCTGCTGCAGATGCAGCCGGAGCAGAGCCGGCTCGAGGCCCTCCTGCGCTGGGTGCGCCATGACGCCCAGGCCCGGGCCGTCCACCTGCCCGAGCTGCTCAGCCTCGTGCACCTGGACGCGGTGCCCAGGCCCTGCAGGCAGCAGCTGCTGGCCACAGAGCCGCTGATCCAGGAGTCAGAAGCCTGCCAGGAGGCGCTGAACCAGGGCCACAGCGGGGTGAGTGAGGGCCCGCGGCTCCTCCTGCCGAGACGCCACCTGCCCGGGGAGCAAGAGCAAGGAAGGGGGGTCACCAAGGTGCCACCAGCGTTGCACTGCTCCTGCCTTGGGTTGGTCACCTGTGAGGGCATTCCTCACCCCTCAAGCACAGATTGTGCCCTGAGAGCCACACCCTGCTATCAGAGTGGGGAGCCTAGAAGTGGCCCCATCCACAAGGACCCCGTGGCTCCGCAGGAGGAGCCTGAAACAGACCCCGGAAGAGGGGGCGTGCCAGGTGCTCAGGCACCCTCCAGGGGTGGCGTCAGGAGCTCTCTGGAGGAGGGGGCATCAGAGCAGGGTCCTCGAGGAAGGAGCTCAGCAGAAAGGAAGGGGGAGGGGTGTCGAGCTCGTCCAGGAAGGTGGCCCAGTGGCTCCTAGGCAGGGGCACAGGCAGCCTGGCAGCCACCAGCATCTGCCCTAGGGTGCCGAGTGGCCTCACGGATGCCCTTCGTGTTGTGCTGACTGCAGGCGAGGCAGGTCCTGGTGAAGTGACAGACGTGGACGTGGCTGAGACAAGGAGCCACGTGGGTCGGCCTCCAGACAGCCTGGAGGGGCGTTGGGGGAGGCTTG